GGATGTTCTATACCAAAGATATTATCGGAGCGGACGACCCATTTCAAAGAAGATACTGAAACATGGTCGAATAACTTTCTTGAAATGATGAAAGAGTTCTCCAATTGAGCGGTATTGAATGGAAAGCAAATAAGGAAAGGTCGAAGGTTGAGTCACTAATATATTTAGATAGTGACTCAACTTTTTTGATTTGTTTTAGTTGTAATCTAACAATGTAACATGTTTTTTGTATGTAACATACCACTTAATGTTATAAAATTAGGTGTTATTTTTTTGACGATATTTTTTCTTTTTTGAAATTCTGCCCTGCATAAGTATGGTTATGTTTTCTGCATAATTTTAAAGTGGATCCAGAGATGCATCTCCAGATTCCCCCTTGTTTATTAAAAAAACAAAACAAAACAGGGGATCATTCGGAGATGCAACTTCGGAACGATCCTTGTTTTTTGAAAAAAATAAGTTAGATCCGAAGACGTATCTCCAAAGTCATTCATTCAGACATGATCATGTATGTGAGGTCCTTACTGCTCTATAAGTTCTATAAATAGGGTATCCTAATCCATTTTTTTACACAAAATAAAATGTCTACATATCCTCGTCTTTCTTTTGTGTATTTCAATGACACAATACCCCTACTTCAATTTGGGATCTGCAAGGACACAATTCTCTTTGATCTGAAAATCAAATTGAACACTCTCATACAATATCTAGAAAATCAGCGAGTTGTCAAGCTCGAATACCGTTCATCCTCGATAAACAACAAAGGGAAGCTACAATTCACATTGCTCGAACTGAAGACAGGTGATGATTTGAAGGTGATGTGGAGTACCTTTTATTGTTACTCAACAAATGATCCGATTAAAGTGGATGCGACGATTCGAAGATTAATCAATAATGTTATAAGAATGTTGCAACGTCCCGAACTAATTGTTTTTAATAACATGTAATATTAAATTTATGTAATGTTTATCTATGTAGCGTTTATTTTGGAGTTAATTTAATTATTTAAATTTCATTTTGCCATAATTGTGTCTGCTTTGACCTACTAGATAGAATTTTAGAGATGCATATTCGGATGTCTCAGTAACTAATGAATTAAAAGGTATTTTGAAAGTGCATCTCCGAATCAGCATTTTATTTATATAAAGATGCATCTCTAGATCACCATTTTCACTTAAATTGTGCGTGTAAAATGTACATTCAAAGATACATCTCTAAATACAGAAGACATTATAGTCTTTTCACGATAAAGATGAAACGATTGTTTTACTATATTGCCTTGGCTAAAAAATGTTTTTAAAAATGTAAGTAGTTACAAATGTTGAGAATAATTAAACCTATTTTCAAAGGAAATTGAGCAAACAAAAATGGCCCAAATGTACAACTACATTAGTCCATTCAAAGTATTACTACAGCCGATTCCACTCTCACCACTCTCCCCGACGCCATGGCCATATCAATGCAACCGAACTCGAACTGACACAGGAACATGTCCTTTGAAACTTCAATAACACGATGATGCATCTCAAGAAGGTGCAATCCAACACCCTTCTATTCCTCTTCTCATCAACCGGACTCAAAACCTTCCACTCTACACCCATCACAAAATTCTCCTCCCAACTCCATAAAGACTCGATTTTGATCCCACCCACCAAGACCCATCTCTATGTTTCATTCTTCTGCACCCTCGTCCGTCTCTACTTGAAATGTGGTAGATTCTGTACCGCCTCTGATGCTTTCTTTCGCATGCGTAACGTTGCTCTTGTTCCCTCTTTGCCTTTCTGGAATAAGCTTTTGTATGAATTCAATGCCTCTGGTTATGTTTCTCATGTTAAAGTTGTTTATTCCGATATGTTGCTTTGTGGGGTTGTGCCTGATGTTTTTAGTGTCAATGTTTTGGTTCATTCCTTGTGTAAAGTTGGTGACTTGGATTTGGCTTTACAATATCTTAGGGACAATGCTATTGATATTGATAATGTTAGTTATAATACTGTTGTTTGGGGATTCTGTGAGAAGGGGTTGGTTGATCAGGGTTTTGGTTTGTTGTCTGAAATGGTTAAAAGGGGTTTATGTGTTGATTCGTTCGCTTGTAATATACTAGTTAAGGGTTATTGCAGAGTTGGATTGGTTCAATATGCTGAATGGGTTATGTACAACTTGGTTGATGGCGGGGTTTCGAAAAATGTTATTGGTTTGAACACTTTGATTGACGGGTATTGTGAAGCTGGGTTGATTAGTCAAGCAATGGATTTGATGGAGAATAGTTGGAGGAGTGATGTCAAGATTGATATTGTTAGTTACAATACTTTGCTCAAAGCTTTTTGTAAAACGGGTGATCTTGCTAAGGCCGAGTCTCTATTCAATGAGATTTTGGGATTTCGGGAAGACGAAGATCAGTTGAGAAATAATGATGTTGTAACTCGAAACGAGATAGGAAAGTTGCAGCCGACACTTGTCACTTACACAACACTAATTTCTGCATATTGTAAGTATCTTGGAGTTGAAGAATCGCTTTCTCTGTATGAGCAAATGGTTATGAATGGAATCATGCCAGATGTGGTTACTTGTAGTTCTATTCTTTATGGACTCTGCAAGCATGGTAAATTAACTGAGGCGGTAGTTTTGTTTAAAGAGATGTATGAAATGGGTTTAGATCCTAATCATGTGTCGTACTCTACAATTATTAATTCACTGTTCAAATCAAAGAGGGTTATGGAAGCTTTTAATCTTCAAAGCCAAATGGTTGTTCGGGGCATTTTTTTTGATATAATTATGTGCACAACTATAATGGATGGACTTTTCAAAGTTGGGAAATCTAAAGAAGCCGAGGAAATGTTTGATACTATTCTAAAGCTGAATCTTGTTCCAAACTGTGTCACTTATTCAGCATTGGTTGATGGGTATTGCAAGTTAGGAGAAATGCAACTTGCAGAGTTGGTGTTACAAAAAATGGAGAAGGAACGTGTTCCTCCAAATGTTGTTACCTTTTCTTCTATTATAAACGGATATGCTAAAAAAGGAATGCTTAGTAAAGCAGTTGATGTATTAAGGGAGATGGTCCAAAAGAATATTATGCCAAATACTATTGTTTATGCAATTTTAATCGATGCCTATTTTAGGGCAGGTGAGCAAGGCGTTGCTGCTGGTTTCTATAAAGAAATGGAATCGCGTGGATTGGAGAAAAGCAATATCATATTTGATATCTTATTGAACAACTTGAGAAGAGTTGGGAGAATGGACGAAGCTCAGTCGTTAATTAAAGATATGCACTCCAAGGGTATTGACCCAGATATTGTTAACTACACTTCCCTAATAGATGGTTACTTTAAAGAAGGAAATGAGTCTGCCGCACTTTCCATTGTCCAGGAAATGACAGAGAAAAACACTCGGTTTGATGTTGTTGCTTACAATGCTTTGATTAAGGGGCTTTTGAGGCTGGGGAAATATGAACCTCAATATGTTTGTTCAAGAATGATAGAATTGGGCTTGGCTCCAGATTGCGTTACATATAACACTATAATTAATACATACTGCATAAAAGGTAACATAGGAGAGGCTTTGGATCTCTTGAATGAGATGAAGAGCTACGGGATAATGCCAAATGCAGTCACTTATAACATTCTGATTGGTGGGCTTTGTAAAACCGGTGAAATTGAAAAGGCATTAGATGTTTTAAATGAAATGTTGGTTATGGGGTTTGTACCTACGCCAATTACTCACAGGTTTCTTCTTAAAGTGTCTTCAAGGAGTAAAAAAGCAGACGTGATTTTGCAAATTCACAACAAGCTTGTCGCCATGGGCCTCGAACTCAACCAAACTGTGTATAACACACTAATCATTGTGTTATGCAGGTTAGGTATGACTAAAAAGGCAAAAGTGGTCATTGATGAAATGGTTAGAGATGGATTTTCAGCTGATTCTGTTACTTACAATGCCCTTATTCGTGGTTATTGCACAAGCAGTCATGTGGAGAAGGCATTTGATACTTATTCACAGATGTTGGTTGATGGAATCTCTCCGAATATTACTACTTACAATACCCTTTTAGGAGGCCTTTCAAATGCTGGTTTGATGACAGAGACGTATAAATTAGTTAGTGAGATGAAGGAAAGTGGATTTGTCCCGAATGCTGCAACTTATGACATATTGGTTTCTGGCCATGGTAGAGTTGGAAATAAACAAGATTCCATAAAACTTTATTGTGAAATGATAACGAAAGGTTTTGTTCCCACTACAGGAACCTATAATGTGCTTATTAGTGATTATGCTAAAGCAGGAAAAATGCGACAAGCTAGAGAACTTTTGAATGAGATGCTCACAAGAGGAAGAATTCCCAATTCTTCAACATATGACATTCTAATCTGTGGATGGTGCAAATTATCGTATCAACCAGAGATTGACCGAGCACTTAAACTGTCATACCGAAATGAGGCGAAAAATTTGCTGAGAGAAATGTGTGAAAAAGGACATGCACCATCTGACAGCACCCTCTTATTTATCAGTTCCAATTTCTGTATACCAGGAAAAGAGGCCGATGCTAGAAGGTTGTTGAAAGTATTTTCCCAAAAGAAGAATGTGTGACAGATGATGTGAAACGGAAGCTACTTTCAATCATCAATAAGTGGGTCTTAAATGTCCTACTAGGTCCAAGTGGGTCTTGAATTATAGTTTTTGTTGAGGTTTGTGCCATACTGATTTAAAATGACTTCTATTCGAGTTTTTTGTGATTTTTCAGTGATGAGTAATCAAGTTTGATTTTTGGATTATTGTTTTCTTGTAAAATAACAACAATCTTTTTGTCTACCATGAACATCTCGTTTTTCTGTATAATAAATGTACCCTTTGACACACTTGCCTTTATCTTCCTTCATGTATATTTTCACATCACGTATGCATCCAAGAAGTCTTGAATGAAACTTTAAAATGTTTTCTTAGTTCCGTTCCTGCGAGCATGTTTCTTTTTCTTTCCTAGTTCTGTTATTTGTAGTGCTATCCTTGAAATGACAATATCTCATGGTTGTTATGCAGGTGATGATATCCCCTTTGGTAGATCATCTTCTAGCCACAGGGTTCTTGACACTGAATCTGGTCATTCTGCATTGCATGTGGAAACACAAACTGTAGTTTTACAGGAAATTCCACTGAAGTGTGGAACTAAGGTTAGTTGAAATATGTTTGTCTGCTAAAAAATAGTTAGATCAGATGGCATCATTAGCTTTTATTAATATCTCGTTGTACTATTTAAGCTTTCTTTGGTTTGTGTACCCAACATGTTTCTTTGCTTTTGATATGAACAGGTGGAATTTACATCATCTTTGGCTGCTAGCAGAGAGCAGTTCTTCATTGAGGTATCCTCCATTTTAGGCAGCGAGACTTTATTATTCCTTGTTCTTTATGTTTGCACCTCTTTCTAAGTTTTTTATTTTTCTATACAAAACTAGAGACATATTTTTTCATTGGGATAAATTTCTCATTTTTGAATTAATGAATGTGCTGCACTTATCCACCGTGCTTAATTAACAAAACACATTGGTTTTATCTTTTACATAGTTGTAGACTATATCATATTTGACTTTTCCAGGATTGGGTGTGCCATGAGTAATGTCATATTTATTTATTTATTTTACCGGGGTAACAAACCTAAAAATCTAATTGATCTTTAGGTTTAAAGCTGATTCCATCTTGCTTCCTTTGGAGTGGTGTGACTAGTTGAGATAACTTTTCAATTCTATTTATTCAAAATTTCTGTACATAATTTTGTCATCTTAGTGGTCATCATTGTTTGCAGGCATGGTTTTTTGGGAAAAAAATTGGCCACGAATTTGGTAGAACTAGAATGGAGGCGCAATATAAAGCTGCTGAGGATTCTATTAAACACTTGTCTGGTAGGACGGATGGAGGGTAGGCAAACAGCTTGAGGTAGAGGAAGACTTAGAGAAACCATAAGAAAAACTATTGAGAAAGATCTCTAGATAAAAGAGTTGGAGAGAAACATGGTTTCTAATAGAACATTATGACGTAGTTTGATCTGATAGAATCATGCTCAACCCACCCAAAGCGAGATTCTGCTGTCTAAGGACTGATTTTGGTCCTACAAAAACGCCGATATTGTTTTAATTTAAAAAAAGTCAACATCAAATAGCATTAGAGCATTGTCCTGACATTAATAAAACTTTGGCTTAGAGACATTAATAAAACTTTGGCTTAGAGACCTTGTTAGAGATCTAAAGCAATTCTTGGAACTCCTCATAACAGATTGAGCATTTTAAGACTATTCTTTTGACACAGTATCAAAGTTTCTGTGACCAAATGTCAAGATTTCGAACCTTGCCGCCCCTTTCTTTATTATTTAACCCTTTATTATTTAATAAATTATACTAAACCCTCTAAAATCTCTCTAAGATCCTAGCATCGTAAGAAATGATTAAGCAAATAACTTACCAGCTGCATGCATTGCTTGCTATTGTTATTTTGTACTTCATCAGAAAGAACCATATTTTTGTTCACCTGGGTTCAAGTTTGTGCTTCTAATGTGGTATATCTACGTTTAATTTCTTCAGTGCATGATGGAGGGTCTTGGTGTCAATTTTCTATCACTGCCTGCTCCAGTGTCAGCAAATTCAGGTCAGAAAGATGAAGTACATATACGGGTTGGTAATCAAACGCTTCAGTGGTCTGAACTAATTCATTTAAATAGGACGATGTCATTCAATTGCAGAATGATTATGCCTTATTTCTAAACCTGTGCGTTTTAGCTCTTCATTCCTTTGAGGGGCAGAAAGAAAAGATTAGGAGACATTTTGTTGAGGTTTCAGAGAAAGATCACAATTCTAATACGCACCGATTTTAAGGTATATATATTATGTCCCATTATTTGATTGTCTTGTTATTTCTACTTTGCCATCTTGTGGATTGTCCACCCTTCTTATATTGTTATTGGAGGTGGCAAAACGAGTCCGGTCTGGCGGGCATGCCCGCATTTTTTGCAGGGCGGACCAAGGTTTTAAGCCTGCACTCTCTAATATGTCCGCCCCGCCCCTTTTTTTTTTTGCGGATTTTTGCAAGCACAGACATTAACAAGAATTTTCGCAACTTTTAGCCTTTAGGGTTGTAATGCCCACCTTGCTCTCCCCTCATTTTTTTTTTGCACGGCGAGTCAAAGTTTTATGCCCACACCCTCAAAGTTTTCGCAACTAATAACGATGCTAGTCTTTAGTTGCTTTGTGATGTATGTCTTCTGTTGTTGTATACTTGATTGAACTAACAAGGTTTCTGGTGGAGTCACTTTGATATTTGGTTGGATGTTGTAAAATGAAATCATTTCTATCTAATCTTTTGACATAAGAGCGGAAATATTAAAACTGTCGGAAATATTGTTCTAACAAAAACTTGTAGAGAACTTCATGGAAAGATTGTTGGAGTTAATGCAAGACAAAAGGGAAACTAAGACCCTGACAAAATTATTTGCAGCTTATAGTATAGGCCCTTTTCATGAAAAGCGGTATTTCTGTAGTAGAAAATAAAATAAAATAAAGTTGTTTTTGTATAAACTATAAGCTGTTTTCATAAGTTATATTGGAGAACTTGCGAAGATAAGCTAAAAACAGCTTATAAACAATGTTTTAAGTTATTTTCATAGGTTCACCAAACAGTCTCACAAAACTCTTGCTATTAAATAAACTCAAATGATTTAATCCAAACATGCCATGATTCTATTGGTTTATGTTTACAGAAATGATGAAAAGGCACATTCAGCAGAAGAGAGTATGGAGAACGAGAGAAAAGAGACTATTCTCATACACCGTAAGCTTAAGCACAACAAAAAAGATTTCAAATTTGATCCATTTTCTAGTCTGAAGTTATGCCACATTATTATAGTAACTAAACTTTTCTACTTTCAATGGAAAGTTTGTGTTGTTTGCTTTTGTTGATCTTTTCTTCCATTGCAGTGTAATGCTAAAAAACTGATCTTGAAGATGTAGCTGGAGAGCCTCACATATTGAACTCATTTTTTGTGGCTATCTGAATGTTCACACACTGGCTATATATGAGAATGGACATCAATGCACTATTGCTATACACTTGGTTGACCAATACCTGTTGGATGTTGTCTGTATTCTTCAACTTAGGAAGCTAACATTGTTTAATCCCATTCAATGAGTAATCCACCATTTATCTCTTTGAAGATCAAAATAAAGGTGCAGATTTTGAGGTTAATGAATTTGAACAATCTATTTATATTGGTGTGTTCATAAAAAAAGTGATACACAACTATAGGACCTACAATGTTGTTTGGAGTGGAAAGTTGAGTGCTATAAACCAACAACAAATTAAACTTAGACCCAATTTCAACCAACTTCTACCTATAAAAGCTTCTTAAGCAAATTAAGTTGACCATTCTTTGCACATATAAAAGATAGTTGTGTACCCTAAGTTTTTGTTTGTTTTGGTGAGAAAATGGGTTAAAAGTTAAAACCCGAACAAGAAGAAACCTATTTTTTTAATGTACTTACTAGATGGTTCACTTAAGCAAGTGTTGTCGGTTTTGTGTCACTTGTCATATTGTCCTATTCGTCTCCTATTCTTTAGTGAATATTGCAAAGATCCCTAGGAAGATCCGCAGAGACTTGAACGAGTAATCACAAGGATCTTTTTTGCTCAAGTATGAGAAGTTTTCCCTTGTTACTGTCTTGGAGAGGAAAATGAAGAGACATGCAACTGATTCCTCATTCTGTCCCATTGTTGATATGTGAGACAATTTAGAGGAAAAATAAATAGTCGTCATCTTGCCTAATGTGAATGTTTTGGTATCTTCTCCCATTTTAGTTGTCCTTGCTAGTGTTGCAGTGACTCCTTTTCATTTGAGTTCATCTATGATCAATAGTGTAAGAATAAGATTTGGTTCTGTAATATTATCTCTGAGTTTTGATGGTAATAAATGAGTATGTTTGTCTGAACAATTTTGACACTCTAATGTTTGTTATTGTTGAGTATTTAACAAACGTGTTCTGCTTCTGATGGATGACGTGGCCAAGACATTAGAAGAGAATTAGTTCCGCTTCTGCGCTACATAAGTTCTGTTGAACAGTAGCAAGACACTCTAAAAGACTCTGATGTGTAGGCTCTGATGTTTGTCTAAAGAAATCAGTCAGAAGATCTGAAGACAGAAGTTGCTACTTAAGTCCAGATGCTGAAGGCTCATGTTTCTAAAGACAACGGGTTCTAAAGAAACAGTCAGAAGATCTGAAGACATAAGTTTTAACTTAAGTCCAGATACTAAAGATTCAAGTTTCTAAAGATAGCGTGTTCCAAAGAAACAAAGTTAGAAGATCTGAAGACAACGTTTCTACTGAAGTCCAGATGTTAAAAATTTAGTTTCTAAAAAGACAATATGTTTTAAGAAGACAAAGTTAAAAGATTTGATGACAGCGTTTTTACTGAAATCCAGATGCTGAAGACTTGTGTTTCTAATAACAAGGTTCTTCAAAGGATTCTTAAAGAACCAAGTGCTAAAGATTCTAAAGACAAAAGTTCTGAAGATTCCAAAGACTTGAAGTTCTAAAGATCCAAGGTTTTATACAGTGGGTTCTCAAGACCAAGTGTTGAAGACTCTAAAGACGCAGTTCTTAAGACTCTGAAGACTTGAAACTCTTCTGATCCAAGGTTCTCTACAACGGGTTCTCACGACCAAGTGCTGTGAAGACACGGTTCTGAAGACGTAAACTTTTGAAGATCTTATGTTATGTTCCCGCTTCTAAACTCATGCTCGCAGAAGCCTATGAAGTGCAGAAGAAAAGAATATAACGTTAACATGGTACAATAGTACACAATACGAAAAAGTCTTATTCCACTACCTCTCCACTAGCTTGAATTGTGGAAGAGAAAAGGACGTAGTAGTACTATTTGTAACGACTCTTTTTCAAATAGCTAACGACTCTATTTTGCTTGGCTATATAAGAAAATAATCGTATGTTTAAAATGTTGTTGGTGTTCAATGTTAAAAATGAAAGCTGTCATTATTGGAACACATTCAAAAAGCTATCAACCACTATAACAACAACAAGAACAATTGTTATCAATATGATTCTTCAATCATGTTGATAATGATTACAATAAAATCATTGATTCACAATGTGCTTAATTTCATATGCTGCACAAAGCTTGCTAAGTCGCATAAGATAATGAAGATGATCATGAAAGCTCCAATTACAAATCCACAACACAAATGTTGTGCTCTAAATTGACCATTGAAGAAAATAGAACAAGGAATGATGTCCAGAATGTTCTAAGGTGAATCAAGATGAAAAAGTTCTTCTCTTTACTACATCAAGATCAACAAAACTTTCAGAAGCTTATGAAGAAGTAGACTTCGGTGATTCAGGTGCTTTGGGCTTATGTCCGTGAAGAAGCTACTTGAAGAAAAGAAGACCACACATTAATCTACAATACAATATAATATTTTTAGTGTATATTAGGATCTTCTGATGTATGCTTAAATTCAGTTTACATCCAACTGGTGTAGAAGAATATTATTGTAAACAAATGTAAATCAAACAATTGTTTGATGATACCTTGAGAGACTGAGTGAAAGTCTGTTCTCAAGAAGATAGTGACTAAAGGTCATTCTGAAATTCTGGTAGTGGTTTCTATTGGGTCAATGGTAGTCATATCTCAAAGAGGACTGAGTGAAAGTCAGCATTGTGAGATCACCAATGAATATCATTGGAAGGAAATCCTGGTAGGAGATTCTGAGGGATCAGATTCTATTGGGTCAATGAACGTTATATCTAGTTTGGATCTCTGAACGTGTCATTGGATGTTAGTCACTGACGGTTGCCCGTACGATTGTAATCAGATTGGTTATAGTGGATTAAGTCCTTGAGTTCAAGGCGAAATCACCTTGGTAGGGTGGATTGAACTAGCTTTGGAGTTTCTAAAGTGAACCAGGATATATCACATGTTCTTTACTTTTGCTTATGCTTTAAAGTTTATGTTTTCTTAACTTAATTAGAAGCATTACTTAGAAGTAACACTCAGAAGCACTGTTCAACGAATAATGCTTAGAAGTGAAAGTTATTCAAGAAAGGAAAATCCAATTCAAACCCCCATTTCTTGTGTTTTCTTCACACCTTCAAATATGACCTTCACCAAGAAATGATGAGATGTGATTAACGGGCTGAAGATGGATCTTTCAGATCTATATAATTGAATGAGTTCTCCAATGGAGTTTTTTTTAAAAGTGAGTGCTTCAACATCAAAGCCCGTGTGGAATAATCAATCGTTACTTGGTTCAGTGGTGATTGATGCTAAACTTAGTAGGGAGAACCATAATTCAATCCTCCACAACTGCGATCGAAAGGGGGCTGAAACCACTTGATGCCATAATTGATCCCCGAACCGGACTATACCAGAGTGAATTCATGAGGTGATTCATAGGGAGAATCAACAAAATATAGGGGTCATAAGTGATCCTAGACTATGTTTTATACCCACCCGTTTACTGTGGAAAACGGTAAACAACCGCTGGTCCTCCCAAAGTCCTAAAACTAAAGGTAACTCGCAAGATCGACCAGTTGATCTTAAGACATGTGTTAAGAGTTTTATTATTATACTTATTCTATCAAAATCCTTATCAAGGGAAATGGTTTTATGTGATTAAGGGAACATGTATAACGACTTTCCACACTATAAATCGATCGACTGACTGGTGACTCGTGACCGACAGAAGGTATTCATATGAAAATAAGATTCAATAAACTAACTGACTAGTGACTCGTGATCGACATAGAGTATTGAATTGTTTACGCAAAGTAGAAAATAACGTAAAGACTTTGTTCGACAGTACATAGAAAGCAAATAAAGTATTCAAAAGAGATAATTGAAAAATAAAGGATTTGCATTGAAATAAAAGTGGTGATTCACGTACATCAAACACTTCTTCACTCTTTGTTTCCTAACGCTCAGAATGATAGAGTTTTGACAAGTGATTTGAGCATACAAGTGAACACACCAAAAAACTACACTAAATCTGCTTATTTATAATATTTACAATGTAACTGCCTAGAATTTAGTGCGGTGTAAAAGCTCACATTTGCTTCGTGAGAATGTCCGTCAAAATCTATGTTTGGTTCGTGAGTCTAACCTAGTGTAAAAGTCCTCACTTAGTTCCGAGATTAACTTGGTATAAAATCTCGTATTTGGTTTGGAGGGTATCCAACATAAAACTCTTGTTTGGTTGTAAGAAGATTTGTGGGCATTAACCTGAAAAATCTCACATTTTACATTTATAATGGAAACTCTCAAGAAGAAATTATTGGAGAGATAAGTTGGTCAAGTGGTTAGGTCTAATTTTTATAAATATTTAATTCTCTCAACCTTTATCTCTTTATATTTCTGCTATTTATTCCTTTCGTATATTTATTTTGCTTCCTATTTTTTTTTTTTTTATAAAATTATTTTAAAAGTTATTTTTATCAAAGGATTTTTAATTGGATATTATTTTTCAAACTCACCCAACTCAACTCAATGTTATGTTTGAAGTCACTTATCTAATAAAATTTACAAAATTATTTGAAAGAGTTAAATGATACTAAAAAAACGATAAAAGATATGATTTACAAATACTAAAGTTGAAACTCACTAAATCGAATGATGAAGAAAAATAAAAAAAGGTTTGAAAATAATAAAGGATTTGATTGACGAAAACCAAAGTTAAAACTCACAAAATCAAATGATGAAGAGGAAGTGAAGAGAAATAAAATTGAATATGATTGTCGAGAGGTTTAAAAAACACTTGAAATATGCACTAAGAATAAAGATTAAAGATATTTTAAAAGAAGAATAAAGATTAAAGATCTTTTAAAAGAAGAATAAGTTTAAAAATAATATGTTTAAAAATTATATTTTAAAATAAACTTAGAGTTTCATAAACAATGTTGATAAATAATATTTTTAAAATGTGTAGTTGTAACTTGAAGATTTTTAATCACGAAGATAAATATGTGTGACAATTGTGTATTAAGTAAATCTCTACTAGTGTATGAAAATGAAATTAAAAAATAAATGGAAAAGCTCCTTAGATAGATGCATTGTTGAGTTAAAATCAAAAGACGATTCTCTTTCTCTTTCTATCAACTTTCTCCATTCCGTTCAAACCGTTTTATTATTATAGAAACTGAAATCGCAGCCATGTCATTCACCGTCGACGAACACCACTTCGCTGCCGGTGACGACACTTACTCGGATTACGGTGGGTTTTCCAGCTTCTCCGGCGAAGAAGTCCCCGTAGATCACACACCAGCAGCCACGGAGTCGCCTCAAATATTCGGATTCACCGATCAGGATTCAAGTTTCGCTCAGTCTCCCTTCGAACCGATGCACGTAATGGAAAACGGAAACGGTTACGGAGGTCACGATGAGGATATTTTTGCCTCCGACGGACCTGTGCTGCCTCCTCCCGGCGAGATGGAGCCAGAGGAAGGTAACGTTCTTCGGGAATGGCGCCGGTGAGCATTTCAGATTCGTTCTCTGTCTCTGCTTTGTTTTTGTGTTTGTGGAGTTGAGTATGTTTTGTGAATTTGTCAGATCTCGTTTGAATCTGCTTAGATCTAAGCTGATTTTGCTTTCATTGCTAATTGCTTGATCCCAAAGTTTTCTATTTATTGCTTGTGATGCGAACGCTTAGGATTATGAATCAGGAATTAGGAAGTAGAAATAACTGAATTGAACTTTGTTTATTCCAATTTCACTTGAATTAGTTACTTGAGCTGTTGTTACCAAAAAAATTGATGGTTGAGATTTAGTAAATTATGTGCTGATTTGTATCCACCGCTTCTTTCTTACTGCTTGCTTCACCTATATGGAAGTTGGATCTCTGTATTTATTGTGTTAGTTTTGGAGACGGATTGTTGGATGGAGGTTTGGACTTCAAAGTTCGAACCGATTCCGTATTTGTAGGATCATTTTATGGATTGAAACATTGTGTGAATATCTCCATTGACCAACTGAAGTGAGATGTTTGTGCTCAAGACTATATTGACTGTCGAGTGTTCCATTTTCAACGATCGTCTCTCCCCTTGTTAAACTTAGATCTAGCTAGTGATTTACAGAGTAGCCAATGATGATAAAGCTTGATGAGAGAATAAGAGACACATGTATGGTATGTTTGAAACCACAATGCAAGCAACTTTGGACAAAATATCCATTCAAAACCGCCAAACATAGAAGGAGAAAGGAACATTGGAGTTCCTTTTGCTTCAAATAGATGATTGTGTGCTTCTAACAGTTTTCCCAACATGTTCATGATGTGTGTTTTATAGTAATTTTTCATTCAGATTATTCCTTGTGTGATTTTTGCATTGAGTTAGTCGCTTGTGTAGTTTTACCATTTTTAGATGTTCCTCTCTCTATTCAATTTTTTTCTTTGGATTTGTCTTCCTTACATTAGGAATTCACTTTCAAAGGAAAAGTAAGGATGTATATCCATTGATTAAAAAATGCTATTGACTATAAAGAAAATGTTAGACCCATTTTAGATCTTTTGTTGGCAGTCTAACCTTGCATTGGCGAGATGTGGATTCCATAATTCACACTCTTGACCTCCAATCACATGGTAGAAACTCTAACAATTGCACCACAGCTCCACTCCAACTAAAGCACAAATTTTGTCCAGGAAAAAAATGGGATGCAAGTTAGGCCATAGGTACCAAAATTTTAGTATAGAGGTGGAAATTAGACAGCATACCACATCACTAGTCTCATGGTTTCCATCCATCATATAAAATGATGGGAGATAGATAAAGACGTCAACCATAAGATCAAAGCAAGATAGATGAAATTAAGGAGTGCTTGGAATATGGATAGAGTAGTGTCATTTGAGCATAAAGAAAATTTTTCCGCACAACTATAACAGTTGCAATGTTGTGTGAATTCAATGTAAGATGGTAAATAGCCAAAAAAAAAAAAAAAACATAAATAATGTCAATAAAAAGAAAGTTGAAGTAGGTCCTATTGTAGTTTGTTTTCCTTAGGTGGTTTGAACATGTGTTAAAAGACCTCAAAAAAGCATCGATAAGAAGGGTTAAGCAAATGAAGGATAGTCCAACAATCTAAAGTAGAATGGAGTCAAAGTAAACTATAGGTCAAATGATTAAAAGGGATTTAAATGGTTGATTTTTAAACATGGCCTATGACAAGATATTATGGCATTGTTTGATCTATGTAACCAATCCCACTTAGTGAGGCGATTTGGTGGTTGTCGCTAACCATGAATACACATGCTCTTTGTTTGGTTATCTGAGGAAAAATTATTTTCAACCTAAATTTTGGGACAAGTATTTGCTTGCAATCTGAACTTTGGAGATTTCACTGTACTGGGTTGACAATGATAATGAATTCGTTATGCAGTCAAAATGCCATTCAGCTAGACGAGAAGGAGAAAAGAGAAAAAGACATGAGATTGAAGATTATTGAGGAAGCTGAAGAGTATAAAGTGGGTTTCTATGAGAAAAGGAAGCTCAATGTTGAGACTAACAAGGTTCAAAACAGAGAAAGGGAGAAGGTAAAATTTACCAAACCCACATTAAAATTACTTTCCACAATATGATTCTTGCTTTGTTCTTCTAATATTTAGAGATGAACTGTGTTTGTGGCACAGTTATACTTGGCTAATCAAGAAAATTTCCACAAAGAGGCTGACAAAAATTACTGGAAAGCAATTGGGGAGATAATTCCTCGTGAGGTTGCCAACATTGAGAAGAAAAGAGGCAAAAAGGATCAGGATAAGAACCCATCAGTTACCGTCCTCCAAGGCCCAAAGCCGGGCAAACCCACTGATCTTTCTAGGTTGCGGCAGATATTGTTAAAGTTGAAACATACACCACCACTTCACATGATCCCTCCTCCACCTGCACCTGCTAAAGACTCCAAAGATGGGAAGGCTGGAAAAGAAACAGCAACTAAACCAAATGGATCAGCACCAGAAGGTGCACCTGAAACACAACCAAAGGATGCTGCCATTGTTGATGCCGCAGATTTACCTGTGAAAGAAGCTCCTGCCACTGAGGAGCAGTCTGCTACATAACTTTGTGTATCATACTTGAGTTCTCACAATCTTTCTTCTGTTACTTTTTCCTTTCCATTTTAACTGTTTTTTGCATGCTTATAGTTTGTATGGCCTTTTTTGTTTTTATTTCCAACGTTCTGGTTTTGTACCAATTAAATCCATTATGTCTATTATGACCTTGGAAATTCAAATGCTACACTGGTTTTATTACATTCTTTATACATAATGAAGTGTGTGTTTTTTACTTTTATGAATAAGCTGCGTTATAACGTTATTTGTTGAAAAATATAGGACAGACACAGAAGGCAAAGGACTAGACAAAAGTTGAAAATTTTGTCACATTAAATTGTGAGCTTTTTGTCTCTACAAACTATTTCAACGATAACAATCAAGCTTTATCTCATTAAGTGAGATTTGTACATGAATCTAATGTTTGATATAATGGTTTATCTAAGATCTCTCTAAATCGTTAATCTCAAAATCTTTTTCAATAATTTCACACAGAAGGCAAAGGACTAGACAAAAGTTGAAAATTTTGTCACATTAAATCGTGAGCTTTTTGTCTCTACAAACTATTTCAACGATAACAATCAGGCTTTATCTCATTAACTGAGATTTGTAACATGAATCTAACGTTTGATATAATGGTTTATCTAAGATCTCTCTAAATTGTTAATCTCAAAACCTTTTTCAATAATTTCTCTTATAGGTTTTCTAGGTCTTCTTCTATCTCTAGTTCTTTGACTTCACTTCTTTCAATCTATTCTCCTTACCAATCTACAAGTCTTCTCTTTACATATTCAAACCACCTAAATTTATTTTCTACCATCTTTTCTACTATAGGTGTCATTTCAAATTTTATCATATATAATCTTACCATACATTCAATGCAACATCTCCATCTATGTCGACTACATTGATTTTATTCTCTTGTTGATTTTTAAGTGTCCAACATTTTGTCTCATACAACATCGCATGTCTATCCACCATCTCTCCCTCTTACATTCTCTCCCCTAACTCTCATTCTTCTCCCCTTTCTACCTCTTACTAAAATTTCATCTTTCTCCTATCTCATTACTAGGGGTGGCAAAATAGGTTCAGTCCGTCGATCATGTCTGTTTATTTCGTACTTTTTTGCAGAGGTGAGTCAAAGTTTTAGACACTCACTCTCTACTATGTTCGTTTCGTTTTTTTGCGGGCTTTAACAGACATTAACATGAATTTTGTATCTTTTAGACTTTAAAAGTGCAAGACCCGTTCCATCTTCATGTTTTGCAGAGTGGGCCGATGTTTCAAATTCGTACCCTCTATTATATCCATCTTGTCTCATCTCTTTTTTACGGATTTTTTACGGAGTGAGAAATTTTAGTTTAAAAGCACCAATCAAACATTTGTTGAAGTAAAAATAACATCATTTTTCTTAAACTATATTCTAAAAGTATTTATTAGTATTTTTCTATTTTAATTGTAATTGGACTAATTTCTCTATTTTTACATATGAATCATGCACGTCGAGGAAATTTTTCCAACAATAACCAAGTTTTTCAATTAAACTCTCTCAATAACCATATTTTTCCATAACCGTAGCCATCACTTCAACTATATCGGTCTACGCCGTACAATTTTCATGATCTATTGCTACTTACCTAAGGCATCCCTAAATCTGAGTATAGGATCTTACAAGTAAATAAATCCAAGAAAGCCCTTAAAGTTAAAACAGACAAAGCACACAATTTAAGCAAGTAAAGTGATCTAAACTCTTAAGGTAATCCCTCTTTTAATTATCTCCTCAGCAGAGTCGCCAGTTCTATAATACGGTAGAAGAACTGATTTTTTTAACGTTTTATCGCAGATGTTGTAGATAGTAAGAGTCGCCACTGACTTTTCTTTTATCCAATATAAGAAAAGGCTGAAAAGAACATGAAAGATCTTGATAGATTTTGAGTTCGGGGGATAAGTTATGAAAAGGGAAGGTGTTAGCACTCTTTCATCTGTAGTTATCTAGGGGCTCTTAATCACTAGTTCACTTTTTGAAATTTGCTTTGTGTGTGTGATTTGAAAATATTTTTGAAAAGACAAAGTACGACTAACTTTGTAATGATTCTTGTATCAGTCCTCAAGAACGCGTACAAAGTGTTTGAAAATGTTTGTTTTAAAAAGGTGATGTGTGAAATATTTATTTTTTAAAAAAGAGTTGTGAGCAAACGATTAAAAGTTCTTACCCACTCAAGATCGTTCTTATTATTTTCCTTCTCCTTTAGAGATAGTGCTATTCGTACCATTAGTTGGTAGATAGCCATATCTATTGGATGTGAAGGGACAGACGAAGGGTCATCGAATGGTCATAGAAAGCAACTTGTAAGGATACTTTAGCAATTCGAAGGGACTGTCATCATATTATTCGTAGGCAACAAGGGACTAGATCATTTTTTGTAGGTAACTCGAGGGACATCGCAGGACTATGATCTTTATTTGAATGGACTATAATGATTTAATCGAGGGTCTTTGCTAAAGTACTCTTATTTTCGAGAGACATGACCATGTTTTCGAAGGCAACAAATAGAGGTTAACTTAGAGGTGCAAAGTGTGCAAAGGTGATTCAGTTCAGTTATATTATCTCAAGTTAAGGTTTTCTAACGTTTGTTTTTGTCTTTCCATATAAACCATATTAGCATACATCTAATAGTTATGTATACAGGTATATAAAATATAAATGCGAAAAATAAAGCCCTAGGATTATTACATGGCTTCGGGGCAGTTACAATATTTAATAAAATCTTGTGAGAAATTAAACATAAGCTATTACAATTTTTATACAACCTATACACTTGTCTAAAAATAAATAGCAAATAAATAAAAATACATGTTAAAAATCATTTAAAAAAAACCTAAATGTCTAAAATGTCACTTTTTTTTTGTATTTTGGGTTAATTTTAAGCATTTAGAAAATAATTAGTTATCTAATTCTAAATTAATTACAAAGGTTAATTAATTAAAAAAAACTAAGTCTAATAAGATTGGATTAAAAATATGTCCAAAATTAGATTAATTAATAAAAACTCTAAGACTATTTTTTTATGGATTAAAACGATTAGTAGAAAATTAAATAAGAAAATAAGTAAAAATAATGGAAAGTGGAAAAGATTAGAAAACAGATAAAAGATGGTTGCAAGCGCCCAAACTCGAACCCACATCCTCTCCTTTGCCAAGCAAGAATACTACCACTGCGCCATGAAACATACATAATTTTATGTTAAAACTTGCATGTAAGGCTTCAAATATGTTCTAAACAATCATGCTAAGCGATCTGAATTGTTAGAATCAATTAACAATACATATAATTTATAATCCGAATAATAAAAAATAATGCAAATCAGACACGGCATGTATGCAAGTTTTAGGTACAAATAGGCATGGAAAGTTACCTATTCTTATCTTGGAGGTGTTCTGGAAGTGATTTGAGGTGGTGGTTTGGACTGAATCAAACTGGAACTTGAGATTCAATGGTGCAATTTCTTTGAAAATTTGTGATTTTTGAGACTTTTCTTGAGGCAAAATTTCCGTGCCATTGTAGTGTGAGAGCTTGATTATTTATAGAGGATGAGATTTATGTCACCAAAGAATGAAATAATCAAGTGATCATGGTGTTATCAAAAATCAATGAAATATGTTTTCTAACTTGCCATTTTTGAAGATTCTTGTCTCAAACATGTCTCTCACGGTTTTGACAAGCTTTTATGAGGTCTTGGGTCTTCTAGAAGATGTCCAAATGATCATAGTCCAACATTAATCCAACTATTTTTTATTTTTAATTTAATTCTTTTACAAAAATTAAATAAAAATTTAAATAAATAGGATAAAAAATATTACCATGTGCCAATGGACTTAAAGGTCTTCTATCATGTTATAAACATGTTTGATCCTCAAAAGTTAGGTCTATTAGTCCAAAAATTCAAAATTACTCAATTGAGGTTTCATGTATTTCTCAAAAATTGTCCAACTTGTGCCAATCATAACTCTCAAATTTTTGTCATATGAATGTGATCTTAGACTTTTTGGAAACCTCAAGTTGTCTCCTACAACTTTCATGTTGGTCATTTTTTCATTTGAAGTCTTTAACTTGATGTAAATTGCCTTGACAAAAAATGTCTTTTTGTTGACTTTCAAAATCACCTGTAATATTTTGGCTCATATCTCTCAAATGAAACATTTTTGGACTTGAGATTAGAGAGAGAAAGTTGTAGAGAATTGAAACTTCAAGGTAGACTTTGGTTTAGAATTTTCTGATGAAGCATGTGAAAGTTATGTTTTGGTCAAAGTTCAGTTGACTTCTTCTAAAGAAATGGTTAAAACCCTAATTTAGTAACTTTTGAAATTTTGAACATGTCTTGAATTTTCTTGATGAATCATGATCAAATTATGAATATGACTTAAAAATCTTGATTTTGATGAAAAAATCTTGAGTTTTGACTGTATGTTGACAAAAGTTGACTTTTTATTCAATATAGTTGATTTTCACTCATCTGAGCAATTGACTGAGCAAATTTGTGATGTAAGGCTTGAAACTTGACATGAGGATTCTTTGAATAATATGAGGAACCATGAAACTCACTTAAGAAATTAGAAGCTCAATTTTTTTTTAGAAAACCAAAACCCTGAGTGTAGGCCATTTCTTAGGAGAGGTGCTTGTATGCTTAAACCCTTGAGTATTCTTGAGAAATTGAGAACCCTAGGAGCATGAGGAGATTTCTTGAATAATTGTCTTCAAAAATAGAAGGGAAAATTTTGGGGTACAACAACTGCCCCTGTTCAATCTTCTTAAATCCGAAGAGTTAGATTGACATGTTTGCCATTCTTGATCTGAAGGTGGAAGAGGATTGAACACTTAAGTGCCCAGAAATTTGCATTTTCTGGTGTACGAAGTAACACTGTTGATTGATTATACTGCTTGAATGGGCTGAAAGATCCCATTCAGAGAGGTGATAGAGTGTCATTAGGTATGGGGTTACCGATGCCAT